CCATGTAATTTCCACAAAAAAAAAAGAGGTTCGGCCCGAGCTTTCAACCCGAGCCTTAGCGGGCCCAGTCGAGCCCGAACCCAGCCGTTCTGATTTTTTTTTAATGTCAAATCTACATTTTTACTTAAAAAATTTAAAATTTGTACGGTTTATACGTACTATAAATTAAATAAAAAAGCTTGGGCTCAGCTCGAGCTTTGTTGGGCTCGAGTCGAGCCGAGCCAAGCAAAGCAAAGCCCGACCAAAAAAATGAGGCTCGACCCGAGTCTTGGCTCGGTATAACACTATAACCAAGCCCGAGCCGAGCTAGGCTCAAGCTTTTTCCTAGCCGCACAAGCCAGTCGAGTCGACGAACTTTTTTGCCATCCCTAGTCAGAGTCCCGATTCATACAAAATCTTCTATTTTTAAAATTTACATTGTTTCACCTTTATATATATTTTTTAACATTTTGTCAATATAAAATAGAAGTTAAAAATTAACTTTTAAGTCAATAATATTATAAGAAAAGAATAAAAATATTTTTTACTTGTATGCTCGACTGCAGCAAGTATGAACATAGCCGAAGCTCTTAAATGATAGTAGGAGGGCTTCAATTTTATTTTTTTTTGCATTTTATTTTCTCCTAGTTTATTTAATTATTGTCTCTAATTATTTGTTTGAATATACAATAAAACATTGGAGATTTTCGTCGATTGTTTTATTTGAATACGAATGCAAGACGACTTAGCAATTTACAATTCGTGTTCGTCACTTTCTTGTTGTTCCACTACATCATTTATTATTAGACTTCTTTTTAACAATGATATGTGGGATGGACTCTTTTTGAGTAAAATAAAGTTTTCGTTGGTTTAATGATTTCTTGTGGTTGTCATATTATTAGGGTTTGTTCTTGTTGGGGTTATATTAACTAAAGTTTGACATCAAAATCTTAATCGCGCGTTTTTATTTCTGATTGAGGCTTCTAATTCGACTAACTAGAGAGGACATAATGAGCCCGACTAGTATTTTTGAAATTGTATTTATGGTAATTATGAATTTTTCTCATATATATATATTTTCCATGTCCTTCATCGATGGACTTACTACATATCTTTCACTTCAAATCCACTTGCGTGTGAGTAAATGTTACCCTCACGCGCTCTTCTTTTGATGGTCCGTTTTATTCTCCATTTAGTTATCACATCCTCCTTTTAACTTTGATGACTCTTTGTGCTCTAGTAATGTTGTGTTGAGGAGAACTCTCTTGTTTTTAATAATAATTCTGATGCTTTATTTTTATTTTAAACTTCTTTTGTCTTGCCACGTCGCCCCTTTAATCACCTTTGATTATAATTTTTTGTGAATAAGAGGACGAATTTTTATTGTTCTGTCCTCTTAGTTTACAAAAGGGATATCATTTAACTTTGTCAGAAGAAGCATTTTATTTTGTATAAATAAAATATTTATATGACAATAATCAAGGGAGTGGACCCTTATGTTTATGATAAAGTGTGATATCATTCAAATTGGAACACTATTATTTTAAGGCATATTATAATAATCAGTTGTCTAGATATTTCTTTTAACTTTTTCCTAAGCCCAGATATCCATGCTGACAGCCACACTCACTCATTGCTGCAAATTTAAGTTCATTATTAAAAGGGTATTTATCAATTGTGTATCTCGTAAAAGTCTAAGATTTTGGGGTCCATGAGATTTTCATATCAATTAATATTGGAACAACATACCAAATCAATGAGTCAAACTAAATACAAGTAATGAAACTCTCCTCCGCCTTCCTCTCGGCTCTCACCCCCACTCTATCCCATTCCATCCACCCTGGTCACTTTTGGTGCAAGAGGCCAAATTAACAGGAGTAAGGAAGCTCTCTTTGTAAGTGTTATGTTCTAAATTCAATCAACTTTAAATATAAATACTTTTAATATATAATTAATACATATTTATGGCAATATCTATTATTTAATTGAGTTAATGTTCTAATAAATTAAATAATAGAATCCATAGATTTAAGTCTTTATAATTTATTAGTCACAAAGAGTTGTAATTGTGAGATACAAATTACATATGAATGAATATTAAATTGTCCGTGGTTATATGTAATAAACGAGATATAGATATCGTTATTATGGATAGACCATCACATGTTGCATTTCTTACTTATGAATTAAGTAGCTGATCTCACAAACTAATGAAGACACTTAAATGAATATGTGAATGTTGTGTTATAGAACAAATCATTAGAGTCCCGCTGGAGAGATTCCACATGTAGAACTATTTGAGTGTCAGTGATTAATATCTAACGTTTGGCAATGAAATTGGTCATTTGACTTGAAGTCATCATAGTGCCTTATATGAGAACGATCATACTTTGGTGATATTGAATATTGCTCTACCAAGGGTCGCAAACGACATTGTTCGGGTATGTCAAGACTTATGTGAAGATTGTGAATGATCAATAGATGATTCGTCACTCTTAAATAGTAAGATATTATGATCTACATTTTATTCAATTAAATTAATAACGAAATTATTGACCAATGTGTATTCATAAGTCAAAAATGATGAAAAATATGACTAATAATTGAGATTGACACATATTTATATTTCTTAATTGAGGGATCATATTGACGAAAGGATTATAACTTCACGATAAACGAACACGTTTGGTTTTATCATGCCACGTGACATTTCCCGTTAGATGTATTGCTTTGACACATTGATAGCTGTCAATTTGGAATGATAGATGTGAATTGATGATAAATTAAAAATGAATATTTTAATTTACTATTTTGATTAGAACAAAATAATAATTCACATTGTTAGGTATCGTGATCGGGAATTTTATGGATTACACATAAAAGGAGAACCAGAAGAATGATATTCCAATTAATTAATTAACAAGAATTTTACAATTAATTGGGTTGCTTGTTAAAATGCCAATTTATTAATTGAATTAATTGATTCATGGACGAAATTTAATTACACATTGGATCGGGTTAATTTTAAGAGACGAGCCAATCACACTTGGACTTATATTAATAAGTCTTTACGGTTACAGAAAAGAATAGAATATCACTTGTTATCTTGCTAGCACGTGAAAATAAAAATCACAATTCTTTCATTCTTATTCTCTGTGTGGATTTCTATTGGAGGTTGGATAATTGGACAGCTGTGGATTGCAGATCATGATTGTTCGTGTTCTAAGATTAGCAAATGAGTTTGCAAAATCTACAAAATGTACAATTTCTAACACAATTTTTTTCTAAAGACAAAGAAGATTTTCGATGGAAATTAAAATTTATTTTATTTTTCGTTGTACATATTAAGTAAATTGTTAACATTCTTTCACTCAAAGCCTTGAACGTCGGCTCCCATCCCAACCGTGGTTGAGTTAGGGATTACCTAAAAACATTGGAAGACCTTCTTGAGCTTAGCTTGCTTCATCAACCGAACACGTGTTCAAGTTTCTAACTGTTGTAATAAAGAATAATATATTAAACATTTTATATAGTATATTTTTTTATCCCCCGTGTCTCGATTTGTAGCTAAAAAACATATTCCCCGATTCCAGAACCACATTATTCGTCCAGATGACGATGCCACTTTCTTAGTATTTCCCTTTTTTTTCTATATATTTGAAATAATATTCACGAAAAAAAAAAGAAAAAGAAAAAATGAATCCTTTACAATCCATTAAGGAGGAATTCCATGGATCGAGCTCACTGCATTCTGGTGAACCATTAATGGGTATTCCTCAGCCATTGGAGGGGCTCCATGAAACAGGCCCTCCACCTTTCCTCAAAAAGACTTATGAACTTGTTGATGATCCAAACACGGACGATGTCGTTTCTTGGAGTAGAGGTAACAACAGTTTCATTGTTTTGGATCCACAGGCCTTCTCCACGAAACTTCTTCCTAGGTGCTTCAAACATAATAATTTCTCAAGCTTCGTCCGACAGCTTAATACTTATGTAAGTTTTCTCTTTGTTAAAATCTTGTTATATTGTATTGGCCAAGATTTTCATGAAGTCAACTTCAATGATTTTTGAGTATTGTAGTGGAAATGAGGTGCCCTAGATTTGGTTGCCTTAAAATGTATACATGTTCATGAAGGAACTACAATTTAGTAATATTCGAATCTTGTTTTTACATTTTTTAGGCTATTATTCTATATTTGTTTGTTTGAAAATAGCAAGTTGGTGTTTTTTAATGTATTTCACACTGTAGGTTTTTTATTTGTTCAATGAGTCACTCTTGTTCAATTGCTTTAAAGGGAAAGTCTGAAATGTCTAGACAATTCTTCAGTATCTGTATTTCATACTATTCATTATTTTATTAGTCCCACATTGGCTTCATTATTTCTGGAGTATCTCCACGCCCATATCAAGATTTGCTTTTTTCTTTCTTCCTACGTAGTGTTGAATTTTTCATGAAACTTAA